AAAGAAAGAAAGAAAGAACCCCATTGTTGTTACAGAAGGAAACATTATGAATATGCTGCTTTTCTTAAATCTACAAGAGACAAAGCAGTATCATTTTAACCCCAAAAGAAGAACAACATAATTTTGCATTTAAATCTGGAAGCTCCTCACTTTTTCTCTGTAAAAGTCCCCCCCCCCCCATTTTCCATTTATTATCTATCTATTTCCTACACTGGAAAAACCTTATAAGGTTACAAATATGTAGACTAGTGCAGCATGCTCAAAATAGCTCTGTGTCAGAAAATGCAATTGGTAAAAAATGGAACAGCCCAGCAGCTAACTGAGATAAACAGTTTAATAGTGTAACACTAGTGCTTGGGGTTATTGTTCTGGTTAGCAATAGGTCTGGGGTTCAACTCAGTGTGCTTGTTTTATCCTATAAGGCCCTACAAAATTGGCATCTATTTAAATTGCTCATACAGATTTAGCCCATTTATCCCTCTTCATCTATTGACAATAAGGAAAATGACATTGATGGAGAGATAGGGACAAAAAGGATCAAAGCACTTTTAAAATTCAGAAAAAGAAAACATTCATAAGCTAGGCAGGCAGATGCTCCCTGATGCACTAAATTATAAGAGAAGGAGCTACAGCATATTCAGACTTCCAAGATTCTGTAATAATATAATAATACATTATAATAATAAAATGTAAAAGTAGTTTCAAACTTCTTATCTAGTCTGACTGATGTTGTGCCTAAGGTAGGACTAGAACTCACAGATTTCTGGTTTCTAGCCTGGTACCTTAACCACTAGAACAAACTGGCTTTCTAATGGGTCTGAGCTCGCCGACTATGATGAGAAGAAGATGGAAACTGGATGCACTCTTTCATGGGTGGGGTGCATTGTGGAATTGTTGCTACCTAGGTGCTGAGGGCTCCCAAACCTTCATAAGATTATTAAGGTTGTGTTGTTCCAGTGACTATTTAGCTCTTTTGTTTTGATTTGATATATTTTTTGCAAATGTATCTATTACATATTTGCTAATGGTCTCTTTGTGGTATTTCTGGGCTAATTTTATTATTGGAGGTAGTGGTGGAACAATGTTACATAATTTTCCCTCAGTCTGAAACTTTTGGTGCTTTTGATAAAAAAATATATCAATGAAGCAAATTCCCTTCTGATCATTTTCCTTAGGCTTAAATTTGCAGCCCAAGAGGCCAGTCACTCTGGAGACAATAGGGGGATGACTGCGTAATGAAAAGTAGCATAGCCTCTCCCATACACACATCTCGATCCTTTAGCAACTGTACTTGCTATATACTTGCTGTATACCAGCAAGAATGCCCTTATTTCATCTTTGAGAATTTCATCTAAATTCTTCTCTCTCTTTGAAAGCAATTTTGAAATCTAATTGTCTTTCATCAACTTGAAAAAAATTGGCAGAAAACTATGTCACCGAATACAAAACTGATGTTTAGAATTGAACAGTTAGGTTAAATGGATACACGCAGGCAGAAAAATAATGAAAGCATCGAACTGAACTCTTTTTGACTTTCCTTGATATTTCTCAAGTTACTTTTGCAAGACCAGCTTTTTCTGAAAGCTTTTGCTAGCTGCTTGCAGGTAAATGATAAGAAGATCTCACTGCAGCCCTGACCTATCATAGTCATCCTTTCCTTTGAAGTAGAAGAACCATTTCACACAAATTCACTTTCTTTAGAATGGAAGCTGGCATTCCCAACTTTGGCCTTAGGATCAAAGAATAATAAACTGCAGCATTCAAGGCTATAAAAGGATTAACTGAATCAAAATCAAAACAGACTTGCTGAAATACCTGTAATGCAACACAGAATAAATACGAGACTTAAAATTTAGTCTTAAAATAAAATCTCTGATTAATACAATATAGGCAATAGTTTAACTTTCATGTGTTTGCCTAAAGTAATAGCAGATAAATAATACAAAACTAAAATAATATAAGGCTAATTATAAAATTCCTACATGTCATTGAGACAATTTTTATCTATAGTAAATTTACAAGGCAACAGAATTAGGGGTAAATTGCTGATCCATGAGACTTTAAAAATCAGAAAAGTAATTGAGAAAATATTTGAATGTGCAAAGATGAATAGGTGAAGAAAAAGAAGAAATGGAATATTACATGCTATGGGATTTATTTTATCAATGGTTAAAACAAAATAAAATGGATTAGATGAATATATAGAGAAACAAGTTAAAATTATTAAATAATAATAGATATATCAAATAAAAACTATAAGAAAATGTGATCATTGTTATATTGGTAAGAAAAGTATTAATTATAATTGTAAGCACAAGATATATGTACCCAGTCCACATACGGTTTGAAATGAACGATGGGATTATTGTAAATAATAAAAAAAACCTTTAAAAAAAGACTTTAAAAATCTGCCTTCAAGATATGCTGAGAACATGATTTGGATGCATAAGTTTATGTTTTCCTAAAAATATATATTTTAAAAATGACAGGGTATGCCACTTTGATCTGGTGATTAAACTACTAGGCTGGAAAGCAGGAGACTGGAGTTATAGTCCTAATTTAACCATGAAAACAAGTTGGGTGACTTTGGTTGAGTCACTCTATTTATTTTATTTATTTATTTTATTTGTCAATCGCTTACAAGATAATAGGTATAAGTATAAACATAGGAATACATGAAATGGATACATGTAAGAAAATTAAAAAGAAACAATAGGACAGGGAGGGTAGGCACATCGGTGTGCTTATGCACACCCCCTGCAGGCCTCTTAGGAAAGGGGTGAGGTCAATAGTAGACAGTCTAAGGTTAAAATTTTTGGGGTTGGGGAAGAAACCACAGAGTCAGGTAGAGTATTCCAGACATTGACCACTCTGTTGCTGAAGTCCTATTTCCTGCAATCAAGTTTGGTGCGGTTAACCTTGAGTTTGTATCTATTGTGTGCTCTTGTATTGTTATGGTTGAAGCTGAAGTATTCATTGACAGGTAGGACATTGCAATGTATGATTGTATATACTATACTTAGATCGGACCAAAGATGGCATAGTTCTAGGTTTTCTAGGTCTAGAGTTTCAAGTCTGGTGGCATAAGTTATTCTGCAACGAGTAGAGGAGTGGAGAACTCTTCTTGTGAAATATTTCTGGACTTTCTCAACTGTGCTAATATCAGATATGTAATGTGGGTTCCAGACTGATGAGCTGTATTCTGGTCTAGCAAATATTTTGTATGCTCTAGTTAGTAGTGTGATATTACCAGAAAAAAAGCTATGTAGGATTAGGTTAACAACTCTTAATGCCTTTTT